GCTGCTATTCGCCGAGGCAGAGGCGGCGAGGCGTCTGGCCCCAGCCTCCGCCCCTCCCGGGCCCCGCCGCCGCCGCCCGAGGTCTCTGGGAAAGGTGTGAGCCCGACCCTCCTCCCCATCCGCCCGGTTAACCCTTTCCCGGACCATCTGCGGCGGACCGAGGCAAAGAAAAAGGAGCCAGCTGCGTTTTAATTTGGTATGCTACCACCCATTTCAAAACGGTTAAAAGGCTAAAAGTGCAGATCAAGTAATGGAGGGGATGCCCCCAGGTTTCAGAGGCAAAATTCGAACTTGGACAGTTAAGATGATACAAAGAGTTAATGTCATTTACCCATTATCCAGGCTAAAAACTTGCGTTCCGAAAATGAGATATTTTTCCCCTCCCGTTTGCCAAAATAGTATGTCAGCCGCTGGCTTTAAATATTTCCTCTCTTGGAAACCCCCAAACGCCGTCGTCCTTAACAGGCGACTCTGAAGTCCTTCCTAGAGAAGGGTAACTTGAAGGTCTCCTCTGAGGGGCATCCTCCTTCCTAACATCAACGCCCTTTCTAACCATGGTTTGGAACCCCAAACGTTGAGGTTCCTGTGGAAACATTCATATAATACTTAACGTCATGTGGACTTATTAATACGTTTACTTGAACTGGTTTTTCAGAGATGGGCAATTAGGCACTTGGTTACAAAGGCAGTAGCTGCGGATGACTCAGAGCAGTGCCACCTCTGGAACCAGATTTCTGCATCCACAGGCAGTCCCAGGAGCAAGTTAATCTCCCTTGCTCAAGGATCTCATCTGTTAAATGGGAATGATAATGGCAGTTACATGCTAGGATTATTGTATTAAATGAATTATTATATTGAAAGTACTTAAAATAGTACTTGGCACAGTTACAGACCCTATGTAAGTGTTCTATGGGAAAAGACATCTAAAGGGCTGGAAAGGAAGCCTTTGTTGGGGCACAGGGAAGAGAGGTAGGAGTAAGACTAGTAGACTAGTGGGCTTTTCCCTCTTCTGCCCCTAGCGCTGGCTCACCCTCACATAAGGAAATTCCTCTTGTCCATTTAAATTATTAAGGGTATTCTCAGCACTGGTGACCTCGACAAGGACTTCTGCATCTTTACTCTCTATAAAGCCAAGCAGGCTGCCTGTGCTATTCCCTGTGCTGTGTCATCCTCTCTTGGGAGCCTGGTCACCAAATCCCATAGCTAGGGATGTTCAGATCACATTTGAGCCTAACATAGCAATTACACAGCAGATTCTAGATTAAGTGATTTCCAGCTGCCTGCCTTCCCCTCCCACTGAGAAAAAAACAAATCCAGAGCTAGAAAAGATTCAAGGAAATACATTTTCTTGGTTATCTGTGAGAATTGTTCATATATATCCAGATATGTCTGATCAACTTCGGGTCTAGTTAACATTTGGGAATGAGATTAGCCTGAGTGTGCAGATACAACTAATCAAAGGAGGGACTTTTCTGTGGTTGCCCACAGCTGGAGGAGTCAGGGGGTAAATGGGGAGTGGCAGCTAATGGGTCCAGGATCTCTTTTTAGGGTAAAGGAAATGTTCTGAAAGTGATTGTCATGATAGTGGCACAACTTTTGCATAAGAACTAGTGAATCATATAAATTGGTGAATTGCATGGTATATGAATTATATCTCAATAAATGAGTTTTTGAAAAATAGCTCTCAACCAGCAATCTAGGAGGAGAAAGATTTTTCAGACTTGGGAACAGAAATGGCATAGGCACAGAGAAAGACTGAGAATTAAAAAGACAGTGTCAAAGGAGTTTGTAACCTATAAAACAGTACACAAATGCAAGTTGTTAATTTTGTTAAATTCAGTATATTGATTTTTGCCCACATGCCCTTCCCCTTCCTCAGAAAGATAATATTCATACAAGGGCCCTTAGACTGTAGTTGGTCCAGTTTCAGAAATCTCATATGCCCCAAGAAATCTTCCCAGACTTTGAAAAAGTTAACATATAGATTTGAGTTCTAGAGATTTTCTGATTTTCTCTCCCTACCTTATAACCAGATTTTCAAATGGGATTCTATGAAAATAAGACTTAATAAAGTCAGGAGATCAGTTGTCTTGTCCAGCCAGCTCCCAGCACCCAGTAAGAGCAAGCTCCTGGCTATCCCCATTGTCTTCACGCTCCATCTTCTAAGCCATTTAGCTTCTCCTGTTCCCAGGTCTCATCCCAGACCTGTATCTGACCCTTTGCCTGTTTCCCTATCACCAGACCACCACCCAGCCCAGCCCACTTTTCTGCAGTGTCTTCCCTCACCTTTCTCAATTAGCGCCAAGGTCGCTTTCTCTGTAAATAAGCTACATCTACCCCTCCCCCTCCCCCCTGGGGCTGATGCTCTGTCCATTACACCATAATGGATGCATTATAGTGGGTGATGTACAGAGCTGGGACTAGGGTGAGACAAGGGAAACCTCTAGGGTGCAAAACCCAAGGGGGCTCTGACTCTCAGACAGGGCAAGTGCTTAAATTGGAGTCTTCCTTACAGGTTTGCCCTCAACACCTTCCTGGCCTCACCCCAGCTCCAGCCCTGGTGATTGTCAACAGGAAAAGCAGAGGATGGTACAGCTGATGGCATCAGTCTCAGGGGAGGCGCTCCCTTTAATCTGATGGCTCGGCCAAGGATGGCGGGTTTGATTGTCCTCAGGTTGTTGGGCTGAGGTGCCAATTGATGTTGGAGGCAAAATGAGACTGCAGATTCAGCAGATGAGTTTTGGCTCGGGGTTCAAATGGTATGTTGCTGAGAAGTTCCTTTGGTATCTCAAAGCGAACTCTCCCCAGGTCATTAGGAAAGAAAATGAGTTCAGTTCTGCTTCATGATGCAATTGCAGCTGTTGTTGGTGGCAGAGAGGCCTAAGGCTTTGAGGGATGGAACCTCGTGTTTCAGAAATAGTTTTAGTCAAAGACTAAGAAAACTAAAATAAACAAGAGATTCCTCCAGGAAACACACACAAGTAGAATTTTGAGTATAATTTACTCAGGCCTGACATAGCCTCACTTCTCAGCCTGGTGGCCGGGGAGGGGGAGGGTAAGAGCAGCTTCAGAGGAGAGCACCTATTACCAGCAGAGCAGAAGTGTTAGTTCTTCCTAGGGACTGTGGGCCACCTCTGCAAGCACAGAGGGTCCAGGGCCATGGTGCGCACAGAGGCAGCATCCTCAAAGGCATCCATTCAGATGTCCCCAGCCATATTTTAGGATCCTAGGTTTTATCACCAAGGCCCTAACATTTTCTTAATACTGCTGCCTTGACTGACCAATGCAAACAGCTAATGAGCTCTTAGCCTCTCTAATAATTAGGTCTTCAGCCTGCTGCTCAAATGTGCCTCCCCTTTGCACAAGGGATCAGGGCCTCTTTGTAAGCTCCCAGAGGTTTCCTGACTCTCATGCTTAGCCATTAACTGCTTGCTAACAGAAGCGTATCACTACAGCTTAGCAGCAACCATCCAACTCCGTTCTTTGTAGACATTGGTCCCCCATATTTTTGAAAGGCCTAAAACATTGTATCTGCCACAGCTTTCTCCTCCACCAGGGCATTTTCCCAGGTCACCACTAGTGATATCTTCAGCAACTGAGCCTCCACCTTGTGCCATGTTCCACTTCCCAACCAGGATGGCATCTTCTTCATCTGCCGAGCAGTAGGTGAGCCGATAGGACCGGCTCACCTACTGTTTTCTTGGACCACGCTTGGTACCATTTGTGCTCATCTGGGTCGTCTAAGAAGTATTTGCCAAGATGAGATTAAACACAAAAAGATTTATCAGGGGAAATGGCTGTGAGAGGAAAGAAGGAGCTGGAAAAAGTTTGGAAGAAAGAGCTTTCAGATGACAACACAGGCCTGACCCTGAGTGAGGGAGAGCGGTAGGGAAGGTTGGGCAGAAGCATCCTGGACCACAGTACAGACTAAGAACATTTCAGCCTTTCAGTCTTTCCAAGCTGTTGGGAGTCCTCACATTGAAGTTAACAATCAGAAGAGCCTCATCTCTCCTAGGGATGGGCCCGCCTTAGTAGTCCAGTGACATTCAGTACTCCAGTTGGCTGCCAGTCGCCTATGGGAAGCATGGTTAGGGAACAAATGCAGCAGTTTATTTCAGAGCACACTAGCTGGGGCTCTTGGTCAGTCATGTCTCTTGCAGGTGGAGTTCTTTGAGGCATTTCTCCTGGCCACCACATACAGAGAGTGAAGTCTTGAAATCGCCAACTAAAATTGTTGAATTATCCATTTTTCATTTCAGTTATGTCACTTTTCACTGCATGTATTATGGAGATCTTTTGTTAGGTATATATACATTTATGAGTGGTTATAAATAACATACCCATCTCTATATATGTGTATGTGTATGTAACACATATGTGGACGTATATCATATACATATCCTTGTTCATTATGAAATGTCCCTGTTTATCACTAGAGATAGTCTGTGTCCTAATGTTACTGAGCTCAGGCTTGGCTGCTTGCTGCTCAAAAGCCAGTACTCAAGAGACAAGTGTTGATTGGAAAAGGAAAGGTTGCTTCACTCAGGAGGCCGGCAACCTGGGGAGAAGGCAGACTCGTGTCCAAAAAAACAACTCTGACAATTCTGCTCAACCATAAAAGTTTTTAGAGGGAGAATCATTGTGGGAGGGGGTCAGAGTCTTCATTATTTTCACCTGCATGCAGACATTCTTCTAGTTGATTGGCGGTGAAGTAGCAGGGTGGTGTTCCAGTAACCTTATGCTCAGCCTCAGTGAGGGCCTTGGTTCCTTGGCAAATAACTCAAAGGTATTATTATGTCTGTTCCTTGAGGGGGAACCAGGACACTGCTTGATCGCTGCACTGTTGCTTCTTGACTGTTCCTTCCTCGTCTCTGCATCCCCTCCCTTCCCTGATTAACAACTGTTTGAATCTGCCCTGTGGAACTCAGGGAACGTCAAGGAGGCTGAATGAATGAAACCTATTTCCTACACACAAGAAATGGGGGGCACAGAAAGTATTTGTACCCAGGAGGACCCCACAGGGCCCTGCTCCACTTCACTAAAGCCTATTTTGTCTGATACTAATAAGCCACTCCAGCTCTTTTACGATTACTGTTTGCATGATATATCGTTTTCCATCTTTTAATTTTAACCTATTTATGTCTATGAATCTCAAGTGTCTTAGGGGCAGGATATAGTTGGATCTTGCTTTTTTATACAGCCTGACAATCCATAGTAGATCTAACAGTATAATAAGTCTTCCAGTAACATGTTTTTTCAGTTTTGCTTATCTGGTAATGTCTTCATTTGAATTTCCCTTTTAAAGAAAGGTTTTACTGGATATAGAATTCTTGTTTAAGTCAGGGAGGGTATAGCTCAGTGGTAGAGCACATGCACAGCATGCATGAGGTCCTGGCTTCAACTTCCAGTACCTCCGTTAAAAATAAATAAATAACCTAATCCCCACCCCCACCCCCAAATTCTTTTAACAACAACAAAAAAGAATTCTTGGTTAAGAGGTTGGTATTTTTTTCCCTAGTCCTTTGAATATGTCATTCCACTGTCTTTCTGGCCCACATTGTTTCTAATGAAAAGTTAGTTGTTAATTGTTTTCCATCGATATGTGATAAGTCATTTTCTCTTGCTACTTTCAGGATTTTTTTTCTTTCACTCTGGCTTTCAGAAATTTGCCTCATTGGGTCTAGGTGTGGTTCTCTTTTAGTTTATCCTATTCAAATTTCATTGTGCTTTTGGGTCTGTAAGTTAAAGTTTTTCATTAAATTTTGGAAGTTTTCAGCCGTTATTTCTTGAAATATTTTTTTTTCTACTCCTTTCTCTCTCCCATTCTGGGACTCCCATTACATTTAAGTTGGAATGCTTGACTCCAAGGTTTCCAAGGCCCTGTTTATTTTTCTTTATTTTTTTTTCCCCTTATGTTCTTTGGAGTGGATAATTTCTAGTAGTCTATCTTCAAATTCACCAATTATTTCTTCTGTCATCTCAAATCTGCTGTTGAGATCATCTAGTGAATTTTTCTTTTGAGTTATTACACTTTTCAACTCTAGAAATTCCATTTGGTTCTCTTTTATACTATTTCCCTATTTGGAGTCCCTTTTTGTTGGTTTATTGTTAGCATTTCTGAAATTATTTGAACATGTTTGTAATAGCTGGTTTGGAGTGCTTGCCTGCCAAAGCTAAAAGCTGGTTCCACTCACAGTCAGTTTCTTCTAATAGTTTTTTCCCCCTGGATACGGATAGAACTTTCCTGTGGTTTTTTTTTTTTTTTTTTTTGCATGTCTAGTAATTTTTTTTATGCCTAGTAATTTTTTATAAAAAACTAGACATTTTAGATAATATAGAAACTCTGAATTCCATTTTATAAAAATGCTAGTTGTTGGGGGTTTTGTTTTATAACATGCTTAGATTTAAACTGCCAAATGTGTCTCCCTCATGTGCAGCCACTGATGTCTCTGCTCTTTTATTTTAGTTTGTTAGTTTGTTGTGTTGGCTTGGTCTGGCTCCCTAGGTATTGGTTCTGTGACTGCATAGCTTAGTGGTCAGCCAATATTTTGGGCAGAGATTGTGCTCAAATATCTTGAGTCAATTAGGCTCCCACCCTCTGCTGATTGATTTGTGTATAGATTGGGGAATGCCTTCAAAGTTCAGCCAGTCCTCAGGTCTCCCTCATCTTTCACTTTTTGCTAGGCTCTCCGAGATCTCTTGGGTCTCCTCTGTCCATGTGTAGTGTTCCAGTGAGCCAAGGATATATGACAAGCTTATCTCAGCTATCCTATCCTTGTCTCATTTCCAGGATTGCCCTGTTAAATCTCTGGCTGCTTTACCACTTGCTCTGAACCAGAACCTCATCATCAAGCTGGCAGAGCTGCTTAAAGCATTTTCCCTTGCACCCAAATAAGTCCACTATTTATTGCCGGTGAGGCCTTGGGGCTGTATCCTCTACACTGAATGGGGTCTGACTCCTTCTGCAGAACTGAGATTCTCTTACAAAATTGGAAACTGTCCAATGAAATAAAACACAACAAAATAAAATTCCAGGCTCTGATCCATTCACCAGTGACTTCTACCGAACATTCAAAGGAGAGTTAATACCAAGATGTCACAAACTCTACCAGAGAGAACAAAAAAGATGGAACACTTCACAACTCATTTCATGAGGCCAGCAGGACTATAACACCAAAACCTGGCAACATATTACAAGACTGGAAAATGAAATGTTAGTTTCTCTTTGAAGCATAATATGTAAAAACCCTGAACACAGGCACAATGTTAACAAACCAAATCCATCAATACTTAAAAAAGATAATCCATCATTAACAAGTTTTGTTTATTTAAAAAATATATGGTTAGTTTAATATTTGAAAACTCTACATCTTCAATATTCTAAATCTGGCTCAAAAACGATGTGCAATGAGCAGGGTGTCTTGAGATATTGATAAATCCTGTGATAAGAAGGTAGAGTCCTTTGTACCCATTACTATGAAAAGAACTCTTTGTTGAGCACCCTAAAGCAGTGTTTCCCAAAATATGTGCCTTGGAGCAGTGGTTCTGGGCAGAACAAAAGGTATTGGGAACAAATAAGTTTGGAAAAACCAAGTACTACAGTTTATTCCCACTTTAACTTCTGGGAGGGAATCATAATGTTCATTAGCGTATTAAACACTATGAGAAATACTGCAGTAAAGAAACTTACTTATGTTTGTTTAAACCAGTGTTTTACCAACTTAACAAAGCACAGAATCCTTTTTTTTTTTCTGTATGCCTGTACCAAAGGGCAGAACTAATGTTCTGTGGAGCTCACCATGAGAAATGCTTGTCTATAGTAAGCAATGGTCCATACAGCAAATTGTCTCCTGCAGGGAAATAAACAGGATTTTTTAGCTTGAAAGAAGTCCTAAGAGACCTATTTACATTGAGAAAGATATTTATTGAATTCAGCTTTCTATTAGATAGATATCTCATGTTTAATATTCAGTTATTAATAATGTATTATAATTATTTTCTGGCTTAAGTTACAGATGTTTAGTGTATAAAAATCAAATGATGTAGAAAAGTTTTATATAGAATGCAAAAGTTCTTATCAATCCCCTCCCTTAAAGATAATCATTATTACCTGGTTAGTTTATTATTCAGTTTTTAGTGTTCATATTTTTTGCAAA